CCTTGGCCAAGAAGCACTCTTGAATCATAATGTCAGAGCCACCCAAGAAGAAACGTGCTACGACGGACGGTCCCAAGGACCTGTCGTTTGTTTCAAGGACTCTTGCTCTTGATTTGGAGTATGAGACGGGTGCTCCACGATTTCATCATCGGTTTAACATGGTAGATGGTGATACTCTCTTACATGTTCGTTGCATTATCCCGTGCTGGCATGTTCAAAGTCTTGTTGACAAAGTCCATTTGTAGGTCAACAAAGCGATCTTTAGGGTCCACAGTCACTTCCTTGGAAAACATTCAGCTATTTTGAAGGATACCCTGAGTCTTCCAAAGCCACACAACGTCCCTTCGGCCTCTAGCGATTGTCGCCGCATCCCACTATCTGGGGACAGTGTTGTTGGGTGGGAATGCTTGCTAGGCTTGTTTTATCCCGAGTACGTGTCTGGATGATCCTTACTTCCGGCCTCTAAAGACGATTGCTTCAGTAACCCCTGCCAGCCCGTGATGTACACAGCGAAGCAATGGGCCAGCATTGTTCTCATAGCAAATAAATATGTGATGGAGAGTATCGAGGCCAGTGCGACTTTGAAATTGGAGCAGTCACGCCCTAGTTTGGATGCAGTGGATTTGATGGTACTGGCTCAACGAATCGACTCCAGAAAGCTGTACCAAAGTGCGCTCCAATCGCTTGCGGGACGTGAAAAGCTTTTGTCTCTCGTGGATGCGGAAAAGATTGGCCTTAAATCCTTTCACGAGGTCATAGCAGCGGTCCTTAGTCGCCGTGCATCAATCAAGAATCCTTATTCCTCACTGGCGGGACAAAAGAGAGTAGGGACTTGGACATACGATCAGAAGGAAAGGTCCAAACCCTCTGTTATCTCTGATAGTTCTGAACTCTCTGACTAATACTTTCTCTTGTCTCTATTGACCTCTTGATATTTGATGATACTTGGAGCAGACCCACATCCATAATTGATGCTCATTAAATGGTGATTAAGCTTCTTGGCCGCATGGCACCTTGGCACCTCCCGGCTGCGCTTATTCTCTTGACCTATCTCGCACTTACAGAGAACCAAGGTCTGGACAAGAAATTGCTTGCGGCAACCTCGCCGTGGATATACCCCATATATGCCTGGTTTCTTTATTTTGTGCAAGGGCACACAGAGAAGGCGCAATGGTGGCTGGTAAGGTAACTGTACTGCCCGCCACATAAATGACCCAGAAATTCAAATAAAAGCTAAAATGTATTCTGTTATTACTATAGTGATTTGGTTATACGTTGGGCGAGTAGGCTTTACATCTTCCGCCAGTCTACTGGGAACACTCATGGGAAGATTTATCCTTCCCGGCCCCCTAATGAAAGTAGTAGATTGACTGGGTAAGTGTCCGGGTATTTCAAAGAAATTAAGGTGAGCCGAAATTCATTGTTCAATTGAAGCCTTGCATTACGCCCACCGTTGCGCCTGGAGCCTACCATCAATTCATCCATCGCTTCTCGCCTCCTGAGAGCAAGACTTTGAACCATAATGTCAGAACCACCCAAGAAGAAACGCGCTACGACAGCTGGTGCCAAGAATCATCCGTCTGTTTCGGCAGCTCCTGATCTGGAGTATGAGAATGGCGTTCCACGATCCCATCATCGTTTTTACATTGTAGACGGTGATACTCTCTTGCAAGTTCGTCGTATTTTTTTTCCTAGCTTGGTAGAAGCTTTATTTATGAGGTCTTTTTGTAGGTCAACAATGCGATCTTTAAGGTCCACAGTCACTTTCTCAGCAAACACTCAGCTGTCTTAAAGGATGCACTGAGTCTTCCCAAGTCGAGCAGTAACGACTCACCATCATCCAAGCGGGACAAGGATTGTCGCCACATTCCACTTTCTGGTGACAGTGTTACTGGGTGGGAGTGCTTGTTGGGCTTGTTTTATCCCGAGTACGTACGTAAATGATTGATGATGACAGCCCCTAAACTGGTTCACTCCAGTAATCCTTGTCAACCTATGATTTACGCAGCAAAGCAATGGGCCAGCATTGTTCTCTTAGCAAACAAATATGTGATGGAGGGTATTGAAGTCAGCGCAACTTCGCAACTGGAGCAGGCACGCCCCGGTTTGGATGCGGTAGATTTGATGGTACTGGCCCAGCGAATTGACTCCAAAAAGCTATATCAAAGCGCACTTCTATCTCTTGCGAGACGTGAACAGATTTTATCTCTCGGAGACGCAGAGAAGATAGGCCTTAAATCGTTTCACGAGGTAATGATAGCGGTCCTCAGTCGCGTTGAAGCAACCAAGGAAAGTTGGAGGCGAATAGCGGGGCAAAAGAGAAAGCCAAGTGGGTGGGACGTGTCTGTCAAGACATCTGCTCTTGACCCTATTGACTGGGCGAGGGAGCGTGCATAGGTGGGTTCGGTAGAACAGGTTTAACCCCCGAAACCCTCGGCATATTCTCACGACATCTAACCAGACGATCTTACTACATTTGCTTCGTTTCTTGTGCAGCCAAAAATCACGATACAGAAGCATATCATCGAAAGGTTAGTTGTGATATTTCGCCGGCTTTGCAGCTATGTTAGACCCATTAATTTCACTACACGTGCTGCTGTATCCAACTGCCGTTCCCTGGCTGTCGTAGTGGGCGAACCCAATTATGTCCGGTCCATTTGCTGAACAACGCACGAACGACTCGGGTCTTCGTTGAGAACATTGGAGCGAAAGATTCCTCAAGGCAAACTTCATAAGTACTCCAAAGGAAGGATACCGGCGGAAGTCAAGTCGTGGCGAGAGTTTGTTGGCGCAAGGGTATAAAGCAAAATAAAGGGCCATGGAGCCCCATATGTATATCCACGTCGTGTTCGTGGTTCTACGTGTATAAGAATAATACATGACATCCGAAAGAGATTTGAAGTGGGTCGAACTCTATTGTGGTCAATTCAATTTTTGCATTACGATCACCTGGAGCCTACCATCGATTCATTCTCGCCCTAGCACACAAATACTCTGGAACCATAATGTCAGAACCACCCAAGAAGAAACGCGCTACGACAGAGGGTGCCAAGAATCAGTCGCCTGCTTCGCCAGCTCCTGACCCAGAGTATGAGAGGGGTATCCCACGATATCATCATCGTTTTTACACTGTAGACGGAGATACTCTTTTGCAGGTTCGTCGTATTATCCCCGTTCTGGCCTATTAGAAGCTTTGTTAACGAAGCTGTTTTGTAGGTCAACAATGCGATCTTCAAGGTCCACAGTCACTTTCTCAGCAAACACTCGGCTGTCTTGAAAGATGCATTGAGTCTTCCCAAGTCGCACAGTATCGACTCGCCGTCGTCCAAACGGGACAAGGATTGTCGCCACATTCCACTTTCTGGTGACAGTGTTGCCGGGTGGGAGTGCCTGTTGGGCTTGTTTTATTCCGAGTACGCACGTAAATGATTAGGGAAGACGGCTTCTAACGATGATTGCGTTAGTAACCCCTGTCAAGCTGTGATCTACACAGCAAAGCAATGGGCTAGCATTATTCTTTTAGCAAACAAATATGTGATGGAGGGCATTGAAGTTAGCGCAACTCTGAAATTGGAGGAGTCACGCCCAGCTTTGGATGCGGTAGAATTGATGGTCCTGGCTCAACAGATTGCTTCAAGGAAACTATATCAAAATGCGCTTCGATCACTTGCTCGACGTGAGCAGCTTTTGTCTCTCAAAGATGCGGAGAAGATAGGCCTTAGATCGTTTCACGAAGTAATGGCAGTGGTCCTAGGTCGCGTTGGATCAAGCAAAGAAGCCTCTAAGGGAGTAGCGGGACAAAAGAGAAAAGCAAGCGACGGATCACTTTATTTAACTCGGGAGGAGATGCTTATGTGGTGAGCTTGATAATGCTTCGGATACGCGCATAGAAAGAAAAAAAAGAGCTTTCGTGCCCACAATTGATACCTCCTTGGCTGGATAAGTAGTAATTGAGTTTTTCAGTCGCGTGGCACTTGCCACCTCCTGGGAGCGCTCAGTCTCCTGACCACCTTGTCCCTTGCAGCGAACCAAGATGCTGCGCAGGATAAATGTTTCTGGTAACCTCGTCGTGGGTGTATCCCCGCACTGTCTGGTTTCGGGGGCCCAGGAGTTTTGAGAAGTACACTTGCTAAAACGCTAGAAAACGTTAAACAAAGATCGGGAGTCAATGAACACTTAGAAGCTACCATCAATTTCACATGCGCATGGTGACGCATTAATCCAAAGTTTGTGCTTCCCCTTCTTTTGTGCCGGGGGGCGAGCCAGATTTTGACATCTATTCAAAGGTGAATAACGGTTTATTCCGTCTCCATCGCCACTCTATCGTCAAGCACTCCCTCATCTCAAGGGATAACTCGAATCTTCCGAGACGCGTGCCCGCAAACTCGGTTCAGACAGCTGCCGTGGTTGAGCCGACTCGACTCTCAAGGAACAGCCTTGTGGGATGGGAGTGCTCTTGTTTAGCGTATTCTACCACGCGTCCGTATTTCTCCCGAGGGAAGTGATCGGCATACTGAATGCCGTACAGGTGACCCATGTGAATCCGCGGTTTATACAGCAGAATAGTGCGCAGGTGTTGTCACTTCTCGTAGATAAATACACGATGGTATTGAGTTAAGCGCGCTAAAACTCCCTTAGGATGGCGGCGACTCCTCGGGTGATATAATATTCTTGGTCCACAAGATAGACTCGGAAGAAATATATCAAATGTCCCTACAAATTAGCTAAACGGGACCAGATATTATCTCTGGTAAATGCTCAGAAATTCAGAATCAAGGCGTAGTAATGCCATAATAAGTCTAGTTAACCCGAAGGAGCAGGCCAATAGGGTGATGCTCGCTGATACTAATGGATATGCCTTGTGTTGCTATTCAGCCATCTTTCTCAACACCTGATTTCCTGACTCCACGCTACGAGCTTGAGTATAGTACCTCGGAAACCACTGGCTGGTTTACTGTTTGGAGTTTATATATAATAATGCCATTACCGAAATATATAACACACCGGTGGTGAAACGGTATCATGCTTGCCTTCCATTCATGCGATCAGCAAGCGGCACGGGTTCGACTCCCGTCCGGTGTACTTTTGTTTTGGTTTCTACCAAAATTTCATTCATCACTTTTTTGGGTTGCCGGCGAATCGTAATGTAATATAACTAGGCATTCAAGAAATGTGTGCATTACTTTTGAGTGGTATTGTACAATGTCCAAGAATCAAGAAAGTTTGGCGTGCTCCCTGCTGTTCATGCGCCTGCAACCGAAAGGACCTGATCATGGTAGGTATGGGCTGGAGCCAGGAGTTCATCATCTTCTTCCATCAGATGCTTCTCGACTTGAGCAACGTCGAGGTGCTCTTCCTCTCGTGCACTCTTAATTTCGTCCGCGCGCTGCTTGAGGGCATGAACGGCCATGGCTACCCAGTTGTCCTTCCAAGCTTCCTCCTTTTGAAGAACGCCTTGCCAAATCCCTAACCCGGGCTTTCCAAGATGTTCCCAACCCATTTCGATACCTTCTTGAGATCGGAGGCGGAGCCTCCGCAAGACGGAAGGATTGGAGGAAGTGATGCGAATACTTTCGGGGTCGTATCCTATGCCTAGTAAAGCACGAACTAGTATCACAAAGCACCTGTTGATCGTTCAAACCAGAGAAGATTGAGTGGGCTTGCTTCGGTTGCATGAGACGTAAGTCTTACCAGAAGAAGGCGAAGAATAAGTAAACGTTAGAGCGAGCGTTCCTCATTGATCTTGCCCCAACATGACGGGCATAACTGTGCTCGTCTTAGCGAGCCGCATAATGAGACCAAAGTTACTCACATTGAAGACCTTCTTAGGAGCAGCATGATCAAGATAGACGTGGTGATTCTCTTTCCTGATGAACGTTAAGTTCTTTGCGGCCCAACTGTAGGGAACTGGCGTCGGGTCGAAAGAGCCTGACTCTTGTTTACCATCCAATTTCTCCTGAAATCAGAATTCATAGCACGAGACAAGAATAGTGAACTAATGACACTTGTTTGATTCATTTCCAGCATTTATGCCCGGCTGGTGAGACCAGCTGCCTAAGCGATCACGCGCCAGCGCGAGCTCTCCCTTTTTTTTCGGGGAAACTCGATAACAGCGTAAAAATGACTCTCACTTCGATACGCACAGATGGTGATTCGATCGAGATTATTGATCAGTTGGTTTTGCCGCACTCGTACGTCTGGACCGCTGTTGACAGCCCCAACGATGCGTACGACGCGATCAAATCGATGAAAATTCGAGGAGCCCCCGCAATTGCTAGCTTGGCTGCACTTTCTGTTTCTTCGTACTTGTCACGAGCGTCGAAAAGTACCCCAAAGCCCCAATTCCTTGCTTCATTGGAGGAACTTCAGGAACATTTGGACCCGGTACTAGAACATTTGTATAAGCCGCGTCCGACCGCTGTCAACCTGGGCGCCGCAATCACGCGTCTCAGAAGGGTGATGAGCGCGGGGCTCCTACAGAATACACCGGTGGAAGAGGTTGTGCAGGGCTTGATCTCAGAGGGAAGAGCTGTGGCGGACGAGGATGTCGACAGGAACAAGACTATGGCTCGTCTTGGAGCCGAATGGATCCTACGCAGCGCAGAAGAGAAGCAGATTGACGTTTCTAATGGCGTCAACGTCCTTACAGTCTGTAATACGGGGTCCTTGGCCACCTCTGTCGGTACCGTGCTCGTTTAGTTTAGGTTGCTGATGGCTGATAAAACGCCTCGACCCAGGGTTACGGTACGGCGCTCGGTATCATAACGTACTTACACGAGACCGGGAGGCTGAAGCGGGCTTAGTGGGCCAATTTTTTTCGTTCCGACTCCACCCGCAATCTCTAATGAATTGATCCCCCGCAGTTACACTCAGTCCACACCATACCATCAGGGATCAAGGTACGTGGCGCATAACACTAGCTTTCTAGCTACGAATTTGATATGTTGCCAGGCTTACCGCTTTAGAGTTGAAGTCATTAGCAATTGCGTCCACAATGATCTGCGATACCATGGTTGGCTCTCTTTTCCAGCATTATGACATACATGCAGTGGGTGAGTTTCTAGAGAATTATTTTTCCGCGCCCGTTTCAGCCTAATTAATACCATCGGGTGCAGTCGTAGGAGCCGATCGGGTCGCGAGGAACGGTGACACTGCGAACAAAGTGAGCGCAATTAATGTTTTTCTCGGAGATCTTAACTCGAATACGGATTTTCTCTTCTTTTTCCCCTTATAGATTGGCACCTACAATGCAGCAGTTCTGGCCGCACGCCACAAGTCAGTCTAGTTTTCTTCCTGATACCGAGGAAATCACGCCGTAAATTACCGTTCTCTCGACTAACTGCCGCGTGGTTGTTCTATTAGTATACCTTTCGTGGTGTGCTGTCCTGTCAGTACCGTCGACATGACCATCGCAGATGGCTCGGCGTGAGTAATTGTCGCTTACGCCGGCTTCCCCATTTCTCATTCTTTTCATTTAGAATACCGATCGAACACCGCCCAGCGATAGAAGCTTGTCTCGTCCGAGGGCGGGTAATTGGGGCACCACAGGGCAACCCAGACATTACCGTCACCACCACCAGCCAGGAGGAGCCCGCGCAGGCCATTGTCCAGGTGACACCAGACCTTGACCTCATAGGAGGGGGTGTATACAACCCCTCGTTCGACGTGACGCCGGCCGAGCTGATATCGGCCATCGTGACGGAGAAAGGGGTGGCAGAGAACCCGACCAAGAAAGCAACAATCAACGTCGGGGAAGTAGCTTGATTTTATTCAGTTTAGCTGTAGAATGGGAAGTGCCGGTGATCTTTGAACTGAGAATCCCAAGTTGTGCGGTCAGATAACAGAAGCGAATTGATGGCTTGCCGGGAGACCCAGGGTCACACAGCTTCACAGCTGCTGCTTTGGCGGAAAGCTTCAGGAACAACCTCGACTTCCACAATAAGTAGTTTGCTATTAATATATTAATAATTTTCGTATTTATTTTCCACCCTTCATTCAAACCGTTTTTCGTTTATATCTTCGCCTCCAGTGGGGCACTCTGGCGAGTCCACACTTTTACCGACGCAAGCTCCTGAAACCTCCTTGCCCGTTTCGTTCTATGCACGCGTAAAAGTGTCGCAAATCACAAGGAAAACAAAAGTCTATATCGGTTATTACCTCGAATTAGAGTCGTTATCCAACTATGCGGATCATGGTTCGCCCTAGCTCTGACGCCCACCACCATATGCACCATTCTGCTTCATCAACGAGCCCACCGTCCACGCCGGTCAGCGCGAGCGTGAACAATATACCCAAAGCCCTCAAAAGGAAGAGAGCACCTGGAATGACCGCGTCGAATCACTCCAAAGACGAATCTAGTCCCAAAAAGAAGAAGGCCAGTCGAGCGTGCTTGAACTGTTAGTGCATTGCTATGAAATTACAAAGCTTCATATTCTAATCCATGAATAGGCCAGAAAGCACACCTGACGTGCAATGATAGTGAGAAAATCATGCCACTTGAATGCGCTCACCCCGGCTAACCGGTTCGATAGCTCGTCCTTGCCAGAGATGTGTCAAGAAGGGAATCCCTAACTGCGTAGAGGGGAATCGGAAACGTGCAAAGTACTTGCTTTCCGATGAAGAACTAGGTGAGTCTTCTGCTTTCTCATACACTATTACACAACCAGCTAAACACTCTCAAGAAACTCTGAAACAAGGGAAGCCGGATGAACCGCATGCTTTTGTCAAAAACATGATGGAAAGTGACCTCGCTAGTGAGTCGTTTCATGCCGGTTTAAACGCGCTAGCATCTGAACGAATTGTAGACGGCCTATTATCCTCCGAACCAACCATCAACATGAATTTTGACCAGCCATTCTCATTTGGATCAGAAGCAACCAACCTCGAATACAGCATGCTGACGGCAATGCTGGGCAATGTGGCCAACGATTCCCTATTACCTACGACATCATCAGCATACACGAGCCATCCACAATCACGAGAATCCATTTCACATGCACCTCCAATGCCAACGAACCATTATCCACTCGACCCAGAGCCGTGGGCAGCGGCTCAGAACGCCCAAAATAACCCGTCAACCTCTCGCCCCCCTTCAGCCATGTATCAGAATAACCAACCCGAACCACCAATGGAGCTCCCGATAATACCGTCCGATACAAGCGCCCCACATGTCTCTCCGGCCTCCAGCCTTCCGACTAGTCAGCCATCTTACGCGCAATTACCCGGAAGCAGGGATACAATGGCTTCCTTCCCGGCGCGATCTACCTCCTTCTTACGGACGAACACGCAACTCCCCCAGCACCCGCAGCAATTTTCGTCAGGGATGAGCGAAGCAGCAGCCCTGGCTCACGCAGCCGAGCTGGTCGAACCATCGACGCCACATGGCGTTGCCACCCCTGCTGAATTCACCACGATGCGCATAGCTGAAGTTTACCAGAGCATCGCGAGACCATACGACTACACCCAGGTGAGTGACGTCCCGGTTTGATCGTCATGGTTTCCGGAAAGCTTATACTGACGACATGTGTGTGTCAACTTCTAGGGTTATCATTTCCTTATGCAATATTTACATCAAAACTTTGACAAGAATGACATATTGAGAGTCGTCCGTGCTCTGGCCATATTTCGACCGTCCCTCATCGCATTACAAATGCCGTTGACGGAAGAGGACGAAATATTTGTAGAAAAGTGCTTCCAGCGCTCGTTGATTGTACGTTTTCTCTACTGGCGCCCTTTTTATTCGTGCCTCACCACTGCCCTTGTAGGAACTTGAGAAACTCATCTCGTTCAGTGGCACTCCCACGGTTGTATGGAGACGTACCGGCGAGATATGTCTTGCCGGCATGGAATTCAGCATGCTCACGGGGTGGAGCCAAGAAGAGCTTGTCGGCCAGCGCAAGTATATCTATGAGGTACGTCACTCGTCATTGTTTTAGGCATCGGAACTGACGAGAATCACATAAGGTATTTGAAAGACAGTCGTTGGTGGAGTACTGGGAGAAATTTGCCGCTCATGCATTTGTGAGTCGAGAAAAGGTGCATTCTCAGCGGCCACTAACATATTGGGATCTAGGAAAATGCCA